TTTCGAGCCCCAAAGAAAAATTCAATTACATTCGAAATGTCGACAAGAAAACAATTGTTTTTTCAAAAATAAATTGATCCTTCTACCCAACCAACCTTTTTTCAGATGGATTATTTTCAATTAGTGCCTTATATAATATATCAATTTGAATCATATCAACTTCTATCTAATTAATAATTGATAGTTCTATCTAAGTTAAGATACGAACTGATTGAAAATTTATGCATTATAAAAGAAACTACCTACTTAATTACTAATTGTTTTTTCTACTAGAGTTCGAGTTTCAACCTATTGAACATTTTCAGTCAATATAGAAGGAATCTCACCAATTCACTGAATGGACATGTAATTAATTAATTAATAATCTCCACATCAAAAAAGAAGATTCGACAGAGGCGAAGAATTGAATTTCATTTGGTCATTCTGTAATATTTACGAATTCCCAATTCTATTGATTTCTGAGCATTTGAAAGATCGAATTTCAAATCTTTCTCTTCCAAATGTAATACATCAATATCGTGATTTAAATGAACCGAGCTGTCACTTACCATTCTGCCGATGATTCTGAGATGATGAAAATCGTTATGTCTCATTTTTGTAGCGCATTATTTTTGATGATATTAGGCAATCCTAGTAGCATAACTTGAAATTTTGAGATATTTTTTTGAATGATGCGATCATTTTGTATACTTTTTTGAAATTCGATCACCATTACGTACACTAGAGATTCAAGTANCGCCGCTGAACTTGATAATTTCAATCTAGTTTCAGGTACTTCAAGTAACTGTAGCAAGTTCTTACCAAATCGGTGTAAGGATATTTGTGATATTTTATTAATAACTTTTTTTTACTTCAACGCCCTGTACCTCAGAAACGAAGCAACTCCGATATCTATGTTTATACGAACTTTTTTTTTAAACGACTTGAAAGCACATTCTGAAAATTCGTACCGTAATTAGGAAACACCCTGTATTCGAATCGATTCTCTCATGTGTACTCGTATGCCAGCTGGAGTTTTAAATCGGCAAAAATATAGTCAAACTGAATTTTTCATTCTCATGAATTATTTTCTACGAAAACTTTTCTCTTGTTATTTTCTCATACAATAAACTTCTTCAACAGCAAAAGTAAAACTTCGACAACTACTAAATCAACCACATTATTGTTTCAATATTGTCTGCTATTTCCATTTCTCATTTAGTTTAGTCACTACTCTTCTTGTAATATTTGCTTGGAGATCATATTGGTTGTTGTTTAAATTTTTTTTCGTGAAAGGGATATTTGTCATCATTTCAATAACCACTATGCATTCATGTGCACCAAAACATGTTTTGTTATTCAACAAAGAATAACTGAAAAAAAAAATCGAAAACTTGAAAAATGTTTATCCCGTCTCCCTGTATTCACTATGCAAACATTCATTTCAACACGAGAAAAAATGAGATCAGTCATGAACACTGTCGAAATATTGTTCGCTATGACTCACAGTATGATATACTCAAAAACTGATAACAAGTAATCTACTAAAATAAATAAAGACGCATTCTTTCTTCACGAGTTTACCTTACATGTATGGCAAAAGGGAAATAATTTACAAATCCAAATTTGTAGGGCAACAGTTTCAGAAAGTCATTATCATTATTAATAATGACAATAATATTTATTTACGCACATTTATACAATATAATAAACGAAACGACAAAGTAAATGAACTATATACTCGATAAGTGACTAAACACTTGTTTCGGTGAAATAAGTTCAAATGAAAATAGTTATTTCGTTACATAAAATCATGCCCAGTCGAAGCTCTCTGGCTTACAGAGAAAGGTTTGTCTGGCCATCAGTGGTGCCACCAGTACCACAACGTCAGCAGTCATGGAGACTCTTGTAGATCTACCTCCTCTTCACATTTTTCTGGAGAGAGAGGCTAGATGGACTGCATATAGATTTTTGCACATTGCCAATTGCACAAATCAATTTGATGCAGAATGCAACAGACTGTTGGTTGACACTGTAAGTCAAAGCATTCTGGAAATGACCATTGACTTTATGTCTCCATCTGTCAACTACGAACTGCCTTATAAAGTACTGTTCCCGAGTAGAGAGGATTGGATCTTTCGGGAGAAGGAAATTTTAAGAGCAAATGGTTCACAGATGGATCAAAAATACCTTACGGTCCTGGTGCAGGTGTTTTCAGTCGCAGACCTAGGACAGAGAAAGCCTGCCTAGGAACCTATGCAACTGTATTTCAAGCGAAAATTTACGCTACTGAATTGTCGGCAGAGAGATTGGAAGAATCCAATCTCATACATAAGTCAATAAAAATAATCTCGGGCAGTCAAGCACCGTTGGAAGCTCTTGGCTCCTACCGAACAAAGTCTGAATTGGTAGTAAATTGCTAAAAACGACTCTCCTCGATAGGAAGACTTAGGAGATTGCCTTTGGTCTGGATTCCTTGCCGTACTGGCCTAGAAGGCAATGAGGCTGATGACTCCCTTGCAAAGGAGGGTGCTGCCTGTCACTGGCATCGCTTTAGGCTTTGCCAAACAAATATCGAACACCTGGATGGCAACAAGATCCATGGATTTCTGGCAGAGGTATCCAGGATTGGCTCACTCTAAGGCGTTTATTCACCCTTCGAAGCTTGATACCAAACAGTTGTTGGACTACAGTAGAGGTGAACTACGATGTCTAACAGGCCTTCTTACAGGTCACTGTCATTTGAATCATCATATGCAGAGCCTCGGACTGTCGGAAAACAGTGTGTGTCGCCTTTGTTTGGAAAATGATGAAACAGCAGAGCACATACTTCGTGCCTGCCCCACTGGGGACCAAATCAGGTTTTTAGAGTTCGGCAGAGCCTTACTCTTACCATCTGACCTGAAAGAGCGCCCACCATACAAACTAATCGACTGGGTTCATTTGGTCGAGTGTGAATAGGTGTGAGCCACAATAAATCTTTGCGGTTTGCAGTGGAGGGTCGAATAGACCCACTCACTTTGGACATAACCTAACCTAACCTACATAAAGTCATATAGAAGATACTATTTTACTGAAATTTATGTAAATAAAAAATTTCGGGGAACAAATTCTGGGTTAGCATTCCGTGATTGAGAGAAATGTCTACATGAGTAGACATTTTTAGTGATATGAAGGTTGACTACGATGGTATTTCGAAAGCTGAGTATCTAAAAATATATCTTTCATCTAGTCAAAAACTTTGTCTACAGCTGTTGCGGTAGGATAGGAACTCGCAATATACACCGGCAAAGTTAGGAAGCAACTCCATGACATAAAATACGAAATGGTATCGAAATATAAAAGAAGTATTTTGAAGAAGTATATATGAAACAACCAGGTACTGGTAAAGTTTTTATAACACAGTCTATCGTTTCTACATCGCTGTTTCTGTTAAATTTTGATATCATAAATTCATCACAAACAAGAGGTTGCATAGTTTTACAAATAAAGTAATTTCAGAACAGACCAAAACTCGGGAGAAGCGTTGTCAATTAATATTTTCAACAGATATTCAATAAATCCGACATTACTCCCAAATTCCATGACTCCCAAATTTCAGTTCCGAAATATTGTTTTTGAATTTAAATATTTTTTCTTTTCTGGAAATAATATCATTTTCAAGATTTCGCTTTTGATCAAATATTTCCGTGTATAATGATTAAAGACAAATCGCTCAGTTCAGCGAAAAAAATTGATGGCAAGGTATTCAATTGAAAGGCTTGATTTTAATTAAATTATTATCTATCTGTATTTATACACTTTTGCGCTTATTCAACTTGATTTATTTGAAATATATCCATTGAATACAAGATGAACACGAAAAATTGAGCTCATTTTGGTGAACAATTGTATTACAAAACTTTGTTGTGACACGTCATTGTGAAAAAGTGACTCCATCACTCGTACTGGTAAAAATGTACCAGTTCACATCTCATTGCAACATTATTTATTTTACGTCACTGATAGTGAGTTTCACGAAACGACTACAGGAGATAACAGGAAATAACAAAATTTCGATTATTATTCCACCATTGTATTCCTTCAACACGAACTAGAATATGAGTATTGACACCTTACTGATTCAAGAACTCAATGTATCCGTCAGTAATCTTTAATTTCCAAGATCTAATGTATGTTTGGTACTCACCCATGACAAGATATTCGTAAATATCAGCACATACTTGATGACGGCAATTTGATTCTCCAACTTGAGGATGTTTCCCTCACCCTCTCCGTCTCCCTTTCCTGCCATCTTCCACAACAAAGCAAACAAGAATATCCTCAATCACTGAACCGTCTGAACGTGTTAAAGCCACCCGAAACCGCACTTTGTTGTAATATTGAGAACACTGAACGCCGTACGTATTATTTCGTATTAGTTCTGCCTCACCTATTTACAGCTGATAAGATAATTTATCACTGATCAAACAAAGTTTCATCAAGTGATTCACCTTCGGTGGTGTTACTGGAATTCGCTTACTGGAGTAGTTTGACTTGTAACAAGTGAAACGTTGTAAGATAGCATGATTACTTTGTTGTTATGACATTTCGAATGTAACGGTTTCTTTCCAAGTTCACACATTAAAAAAATCAAACTGCGTGAGGATTCGAAATGAAATGAAATTCTATGTTCATGATAAGCTAATTTGAGACAGTAATCAATAAGTCAATCACAAATATACTTTGTTGTCTGAAACTCATTGCATCATGAACTGAAAAACATAATAATATCATTTATTCATTGAAAGAAATGTTCAACAAATTCCTGAGAGATTTCTGAAAGATACAATACGGTTAATTACGCAAAATTTCACGCCATAGTATGTTGCAACATTGCTGTCTGGGGATTAGCCATTGAAATTGACAGAATATTCGTAAAATAAAAGGCACTGCTACGATTAATTTCTAACCTTGATTACAGAATGTCGTGTATTTCAAGAGGATAAAATATGAACCGTGGCAAGCATATTTAAATGTCCAGCAATCTATATTAACGGGGTCTCTCAGTCAAAAACTTAAAAATCAAAAACTCTGCTCTACTTTGCCAAGCTTTCGTTTCGAAAAACATTACAATTCATACTTACAGTAAAAATGAGTTAAAAACAATACATTGAACATATAAACTGACGAAGAAGGTTGAACATGTATAGATTATTTAAACATGTATAGATTATTTTGTGTTTGACAAATGTCATACCTTCACATGAATGTCATTTTTCAATGGGTATGATGATTTCATAGTCTTTGACTTCAAGAAAAAGTTATTGATTGATACAATTTTCATTATTATCATGTTTTATGTAATTCCAGTAAGTTACTGTATACATGAGATTATCAATGTCAGTTTTCTCATTCATACAAACAGAAGACTTAATTTCAACCATTTCAAGAAGAAGGCGTTTAGAAATATTTTTTTCTGTATGTAAAACTTTGATACCAGAGTAATTTGGTTTATGTCCTGTTTCTATAGAATGTTGTGCTCACGGTCGATGGTAGGTTAGACGTTTCTGGAAAACGCAGAGCATGATTTTTCTAAAAATTTCACCTCTCACAATTCCTTACCTGTTCTATCGATCTGAAATATTTTCAGCATTGCGGCGTTGCCACTTCCATCAAAAAGTCCTAGCAACTTTATTTTTTTAAATGGAACACCCCGTATATTAATACATTTTTGGAATCGCTCTGGTATTTTGATACTTTTTTGTTGATAATGTCCTATACCTATCTCTATCTGTTTTCGAGATAAAAAATTAATTTTGTTAAATATGGTCCAAAACATAGCCTTAATTGAAATTAAGTACATCAGTACTCTCAATTGATGAAATATTCAAATTACATCAAGAAATCGACTCCATATCATACAGGGCGTGCTAAAATTACTATTATTTCCATTGTGCATAAAAGTAGTCAAAAGTTCATTATTTCAAATGAAACCCCCTGTATATTACTTAGTAAATTGGAAGATGGTGAAAAATGCTTCAAGATAATATATCATGTCCCTATACCTAAATCGTCAAGTTTTCTCAATAAAGTCGTTTCTTCTAGAAACATTATTTTTTTTTAGAATTTGGATTCAGGTAGCAGTGGAATTATCAAGCTTATAGCAGTTCGGTTACTTTAATACGTAATCTACAAAGAGTTATCGACGGTGTTTCGAATGATCTTCCAAAATGAATGCAAATATCGATTATTCAAACGAAGTTCTTATGAAATTATTCATTATACACATGAACAAAGTGATCAAATCATTGTCAGTCTAACTACGGTACGGACCTTCAGAGAGTGATTCGTTATGTTGTTTCAAGAGAAAAGTTCACTCATACATATGTCCGGAGTTGCTTCATTTCTGAGATACAGGGCGTTGATGTTTAGAAAAAAAAACAGTAATTATAACTGTAAATATACCTTTTTCGTCGCTTGCGTTTTCTACTCAGTTCTCGCTTCGTTTTCGATAAAAAAAAATTGAAGACACTTTGCTGATCATGAGCACCTGCTTTGGAGACTACCTGACAGTGATAGTGTTTTCATATCAGTGGAAGTCTGAGCTGTCAATCAGCAGTGATTCCATCATGAATGATTTTACTAACACTGAAATGGCTGACATGCACTTCATTTCTGGCTTGGAAATTTCTGAAAATGCGAAAGAAGTACGAATAAATTACTAGAACAGTTATTCTAACAGAGTAATTCCATATACTGAAACATTTGGAACGCAAAATGCAAGATAATGTTGAACTGGAAGAAAGTGGAACAACGCCTGAACTAGAAGAAACTATATTTGATAAGATAGAAGAATATCCATCGAATAGTACCTGGAAAATTATACTGCAGCTGGAAGTCAGCCCAAAAACCGTATGGATAGTTCTAAACATATACCCATATCATATACAGTGGGTCCAAGTTCTACTGCCTCGGAATTTTCACACGAAATTGATGTTTTGCAGGTGGTCGATTCATACAATGGCACAGAATAATAAGTTTTCACCGAATATTGCTGAAAGTCATTTTCAGCAAAAATTTTCGCCGAACGTTAGTTCAGGAATGATTGGTGAATACCTAATTGGCCCATTTTTTGTACCAGCAAAATTAACAGGTAAATTCTGCAAGAACTTTCGCGAGATCATTTACCCACTTCGTTAGAAGAAGTACCGGTACTTGTAAGAAGCAACATATGGTTTATGTTCGCGCCGGGACTCCAGCTCATTTTTGTGTTCTTGCTCGTCAGCATCTATCCTAATCACTGGATTGGAGGTGGAGGACCTCAGAATTGGCCAGCTCGCAGTCCTGATATGTATCCTCTAGAATTCTATTCATGGTGTCACCTGAAGGCTCTTGTCTATGAGACTCCTGAACTGGATGTGAATGACTTGAGGAATCGCCGCTGAACTTGATAATTTCAATCTAGTTTCAGGTACTTCAAGTAACTGTAGCAAGTTCTTACCAAATCGGTGTAAGGATATTTGTGATATTTTATTAATAACTTTTTTTTACTTCAACGCCCTGTACCTCAGAAACGAAGCAACTCCGATATCTATGTTTATACGAACTTTTTTTTTAAACGACTTGAAAGCACATTCTGAAAATTCGTACCGTAATTAGGAAACACCCTGTATTCGAATCGATTCTCTCATGTGTACTCGTATGCCAGCTGGAGTTTTAAATCGGCAAAAATATAGTCAAACTGAATTTTTCATTCTCATGAATTATTTTCTACGAAAACTTTTCTCTTGTTATTTTCTCATACAATAAACTTCTTCAACAGCAAAAGTAAAACTTCGACAACTACTAAATCAACCACATTATTGTTTCAATATTGTCTGCTATTTCCATTTCTCATTTAGTTTAGTCACTACTCTTCTTGTAATATTTGCTTGGAGATCATATTGGTTGTTGTTTAAATTTTTTTTCGTGAAAGGGATATTTGTCATCATTTTCAACAACTACGGTAAGAACCCACTTCCCGAAAATACCCTGAAGGGTATATCCTTCTAAACCACAACCTTATTTTAGGCCTTCTTATTACCACCTCAAGTCGATATTGTGAACTACATCCTGGTGTATCATATCGCAAGGCTAGACCACTACACCCATTATATCTCTGATTACGGTCTTCCGAGGAGCACGTTATCTGCATGGAAAAGATCATTGCCTGAGTGGACTGCGTACAGGGGTTAGATCGTGCTGCTGGAGACTATTCTCCCATATCCCATGCATGTAAGGTCTTTCCTGTTATGTATTACACCCTCCCACACGACCTCGAATCAACATTGCGGCACAAATTGCGAATTCTAGAATAAACCAAGTATTTACCACACCTTAAGTTCAATCATAAGTTGCTTACTTTTATATCTGTGAACCCAAAAGTATACTTCTGGGCCATAAGCCTGTAATCACCACAAGCTTGGCGTGTTTGAAGAAACAATGCACTTATCCTCCAAGTGGACTTATATTTACCCACCATCCCTCTCCGCTGAGTTCCGGCAGCCCATAATTTAGTTCCTAAGTAACAAAGTAACCCGTTTCAATCTACGTCAACAAATGTTACACAATGAGTGTAAAGCTGTTTAGGTACAAGCATTATGAACTCAAAAGTAGATTATAATGACTTCTCAGTAATCATATTCATCCCAGGGAATAGGTTTCGAAAACTGGACAGAGATTTCCATTGATTATAGAAATTGTCTGTTTCACGTGCTAATTGTTTGACGATTAACACTCTGTTGGTAAATCGTATATCCGTGATCAAGATACTCAACTGAATCTACCTTATTATGAAATTAATCATACTGTACACTGAGAAGTCAAACTTTCACTTTCCATATCACTTTTTCATTCAAAAATCTCTCTAACTCATTATAATTCCACTACCAAATTGCTATATTCTACGGCAGAAAACCGCATTGATATAATTTGCTCAGGCTCTTGCTCAATCACGAAAATAACGAACGTTGATACTGAATAATGAACTTTCTAAACGAAGTATTCCAAAGAGTTTCAACTTTTCACCGATTCCTTCGCTCTGTTTCTACTCTTTCTGTTCAACTGACAATGAAATTAAATCTATAGATTGAAAAAGTTTTATCTCAGCTGGTCCGACTGAGAATTCTTTTTTAAATCTAAAATAGATACTAGCACTTGAAATTCAGCATGCTAGGAATTTCATTCATAAGCAAGAGATGTTTAATTTTCTTCTTGAATATAATACAATTTGAATTCTTTAGTTCGTTAGGTAATTTGTTAAAGAGCCAGGTTATGTAATAAGGAAACGATCCACGATAATGGGAACATCCCCACCGCGGGTATCTCGATCGCGTCGGAATAACTGGTATCTGGGTAATGAGATAGACTCATCGGTTACTGTAGCAGACAGCCATGTTTCTG